GATCACATCTTGGCGGTTCATCGAGGAACGCCCCACGAATCTATGGGCCTGAGCCCGTTTCAGTTGAGGACCAATAGTGTCGCTTGTGTTTCAATACCGAGCCTCCTGGACGAATCTTCGTTGAACCGACGCAGCCGGTGATCAACGAGCGCCTGTGGTTCCTGGCTCCTCCAGGCACGCCGATCAGCCTGGAGCTGATGGTCCCCCTTGCGCAGTTAGCAGACGATCTCCCACTCGAGATCGTCTCGCAAAGTGACGACAGCCCGGTTCCGCATGTCCTCACACGGCTTCTAACGTTGTATCTTCAGTGGTCGGCGTGCCTGGAGGACTCAGGAGGAGCCAGGAACCATCTGCAACCCGCCATCGCAGCAGGATTATCTGGACCCATGAGAGATCATCGATCTCGCCTTATTCCAAGATCGGGCGGCCTCCGAGGACGAAGAAATAGCGATCGAAGAAGAAAGCGTTGAAGAAGGAGAAAAAGTCGTCGAAGAAGACGAGGAAGAAGAAACCCCGGAGGAAGGTAGTTATAGTGAGCACAGTGAGGGAGAGCGGAGTGAAGAGGAAGAAAAGGACGAGGACGAGTTGGAATTGGAGGAGTCTGAGTGGGAGATCTCGGCGGAGGAGCTCGAGCGAACAGAAGCGGAGCAGGCAGACGACCCCGAAGTGACGCGCAAAAGAGTCGAGATCGCAGCCGGGAAATGACAGCTGGAGTTTGCCAGCGTGGCAAATTTGCCAATCACCGACAATCCTGCCCGCGACCCAGAGCCGCCTAAGCCTGAAGATGGAGAACAGGACGAGACTTCGAGCGCACCGGCGAGGCAGCGACAAAGCCGATCCCCCTCCCCCTCCACCTCCGACCATCCATCAGTTCGAGCCCGTACTGATGCAGGGCATCGGGCTTCATCCCTGGTCATTGTCCCGCCCAGGTGGAACGATTCTTACCCCCGCTTCCGATTAACCCTCCCCCTCGCCATGCCCCCATGTACCGTCTCCCCTTCCCCCTTCCCGGTGGAAATTGATGATCGGTAGATTGGTGTGTGCGCCACGGCGATGGCACGAATAATCCCCTCCTTGGATTGATGAGAGCCCTCCTGAGGAAATTGTAGGATAGAGCTTGCATGCCACGTTGGATGACTTCCACACTCCTTCGCACAGTAAGTGGTAGAGAAAAAGCTCTGCATGTCGATTGATTAGAGAACTCGACATGTATCACGATTCAAGCAAGCAGGAGTGTGCTTAAGATTGGAACCCCCTGGGCGTCACATATGTGACGAACCAATTTCCGCACCGCGCGATTTTCTGCGCGGTAGCGGCGAGGGGTCCTAAGCTGGGAAGGATGGGCCAATTACGGGAGATCGGGATGGATGGGAAATTGCATTGGTGTCCTCGCTTCTTCGTTTTCTTGTGTCGGTTCCTTTCGGATGGCTGGTTCGAGACCGAGCAAGTCCCGAGAACGATCGATGGGTGATGCGCCACCGTCAAGCGCGCGAATAATTCTGGTTGACGTCGTTCCTTTTTGTTTCTATTGGTAGATTTTAGGCGCGGAGACCGCGTGGAAAATTGTGCTTCGTTCTTTTTGAATCTTCTTTTTAAATTGTGTCGAAGCCCTGATGGTTCTCGGAATTTCCGATTTTTTTTTTGAAAATTGTGGTTTTCATTTTCTGCCTTAGGTAGGAATTTAGGAATTTTGTAATTAGGATTTTCTTTCACTACGCAGCGTTTTTTGCATACGCGCCTCTTTTTGCGACAGCAACGGAACTCTGATTAGTCGGCGCCCTTAATCGTGTGTGTAACTGTAATTTTGGGCGGGCGCCATTGCAACTGTATCTTTCTTCCTGGACTTCGTCTTTCCCACTTTCGCTTTCTTCTTGCTGGTCTAGCAGCCCGCGGGCTGCATGATCGGATCGATGCGTGGAGAGAGGCTATGTCCCCCACGCCGCGGTCTGGCCATGCAGAACGTAGGCGCTTCCTCCCCTTATCTCTTTCTAAGTCTTTGCAATTCCATGTTCTTCGCGCATGCATGCACGCTATAAATTCGGGCTGCGCGATTAGATAGCTCTCTTAACCAGCTAATGGAAGTTCGGGGTAGCGCGATAAGTGAGGGTCGGCTCACGAGGGAAGTTAGAGGTGAGTGAAGTGGGAGTCGGGCGACCCGACGAGCTGGTGCCGAACGCGCGGGGTTGACGCGGGCCACGACGGACTGTGGGCGAGGGCAAACCTGACGGGTGCAGGAGGACTAAGCGGGGTGACGACTTCGTGGGTTGGTGCGTGACGACGGACTGTCCGCATCGAAGAGAGAGAGAGAGGAAGAGGGAGCTGAGGTTGATGGACGTGGATTTGTAGTTTCGTTGTCTTTTCTCCCTCCTCGCCTTTGTATATAAATTTTGATCGCGATCTCGGCGGTGCGCCCGTTTTTCCTTTGTCTTTCGGAATCTTGACTTGGTTTCGGCCCACACTTGTTTTTGCGATTTCAATCTCGAATACTGCGTGTTATGCTGAATGAATGGATGTTATGTCTGTTTGCTTTTCCTTGTGCCTGAACTTTGTTGTTGCTTGTCGTTTTGATACACTCATGAGCATAGTAGGAAAGTTCACGTAATCCTCACTATAACTATTTGTTCTTATTGATCCACTATTGTTGCCGCGAATGTGTAGTGGCACCTTGCATGATCAGGAAAGGTTGTGTGCATAGAATAATTAGACGATCAGGTAGCTGTCTGTCCAGAAACTCGCGGGGATGCAAGTAAGCGCGATCTGCTTTGCGCACTTACACGTGTCCACGCACGTCGATTCGTAACCACCCACGCATGAAAAGGCCAACGATTGTGGGAAGAGTGACTGATTGGGTGTGTCCGGTGACCATTCTGTGTCTGCAACGAAGCGATCATCCTGTGTGAACACGTGTAAGTGCGATTCAATTCGCGCAGTCTACACGTACTCACACGCGATGATCGCAATCGTCGAACATCGGGACCGGTACGGAATTTCTGAACGCCGAGCTCGGAAATTCCCAGCCGGGCAACCACGCGCTAAGAAATTTCGTGGCTTCGCAATGACAAAATGACACACTGCAGGGACTCAGATTCGTCGTGGGATCCGGAGTACTTCACCCCTTGGATAGAGGAGTGCCTCCGACAGAGGTTCCCCTGTTTAACCGAGAAACGACTGTGTCCTAGGGAGTTCCATTGTGCCACAACCAGCGATCCGCGGTGCCCTGATTTCCCCACTTCTGACCACACGCGCTACTTTATTTCCCCCGGTTTTGTCGTTATCTCCACTAACTTCCCTCCCTTCCGTCTTCTCCCGTATCATCAACTCACGGTAGTCCCGTGGAACGCCATAGCCCCATACTGGCCCCGCACGCCTTGCGGAAACGTGCACGACATCCGACGGCCTAACTCATCAGAATCACACCCMCCCCGGATGGACCTCTCGTCGAACCGCCGTCATCGAAACAGACCGTTCGAACGGCCTTGAATGATCCGCGCATGCCATCTGCCTTACGACCGGAAGCGGTCCGTCCTCTCAACCAAATTCCACTCGTGCCCCCGAATAACTCTGCCACAGGAGATCTCAGTTCTGACCTGGGACTCCACCCCCACTTTCCCAAAAATCCTTGGCACACCCCTTTTCGCACTTCCAGGCCCACATCCTACTCCGATCAGGAAGTCGTGCCGGGCGTGAGGTTGGGTGTCACACATTATAGTATTACGGGGAACCTGTAGGAGCCACATCCGTGCTCAAGCCTCCTACGAGGGAACATGCGGGAGCTGCACCCACCAAAATGCGATACCTGCTACAGCAGGTGGGCGATACCGGCCAGGGGTCAGCCGGTAGCATCAGGACCGAGCTTCTTGGATGGGCCAGTCAGTGTGCCTCCCCTCCGGTCCCCTCCCCCTATGAGCATCAGCAGTCTCTGGTCAATGCCACTCGGGGGGACCAACCGCATATCTCTAGGTGGCGGGCGCCAAGCTTGCCCAGGAAGGTACATGAGGCCAATGAAACTTTCATTGTACTATAACGAACATCTTCTAATTAAACCACCAGTACTTGGTAGAAACGTTTCTAGTTGGATGAATTTGGACGCTCCTGTAGTGCGGGTACGTTTCCTAAAATTGTGGCGCTACGTTAGGAAGTACTGGTGGTTTAAGATTGGATTAACATATTTATGACTGGAAGTCCTTATATGATAGTCCAATTAAAAAAAATCCATAAACTCATCCAGATGAGTTTGAAGACAATTTGAATGCCTGTGGGTAGGTGGCCCTCGCTCCACTACATGCACAACAGACAAAAAATATGGCGCCGTATCTTTCCCTGGTGTAGCAGAAGATTCATGCGCATTTGCACATTTGGTGAGTAGTGGAGCGAGGACGTTTATGACGCCAAAAGGAGTATGTTGATCGCATTCAACAGAATGTGCGCAAATTGCGCAGCATTGTTACCCTTCAGCATCGCCGAAACCAGCGCAGCTGCAAGCACCCAGAAGACCGGCATACCTAGGCCCTAGGGCCCTAGGGCCCTAGGGGCAATTGCAATCGTTCCTTCAGCCGTGACATGGAGAGAGAAAAAGCATTAGCGATCCTTCTTACTAGTGGTCGTAAGATACACCCCACCGAGAGGGTCCGAACCCGTTGACCATCCATGCTCTGGACTTCAGAAGGGCTCAGCCGACACAAAGAGGTCTCCTTCACTTCCTCTTCGTCCCATTTTCTATCGCCCAGCTAAAGCTCCCTGCTTCCTCGCAATATCTTCTCCCGTCTCTCTCTCTCTCTCTCTCTCTCTCTCTCTCTCTCTCTCTCTCTCTCTCTCTCTCTCTCTCTMTCTATCTGTGTGTGTGTGTGTGTGTGTGTGTGTGTGYGTGTGTGTGTGTGTGTGTGTGTCTCCGAAACACACACGCGCTGGCGTGCGCGTGCATACGGACGGACCCCAATTGACTAAAATATGCCCTTGGTGAATGGAGTTGAGTCAGATGACGATTAGAGCGGGCCCCGGATGTCGCTTTCTTGAGTCAGGGAGAAGGAAGCGAATCACGGAGAAAATGAGCTCTGCCCGCGCACTTGTCGTAGTCTTGCTGGCCTTGACGTTATGCTCTCCCGGCACAGTCGATTGCAGCGATCTCGTGAACGTTCTGAAGCAAGACATGCGGTTTTCCATCTTCTACAATGCGTTGGCAGCGTCCGAAGAGCTGATCTTTGTGGAAAATCGCACGGCTGTGAATGGCACTTCGTACGTCCTTTTCGCTCCGACGGACGCGGGCTTCGCGGAAGAGTTCCACGCTGACATTCTGGCATGTCTTCAGGCGAGCGCACCCGCTAAGGGGATCGTCSTTCWGCTCCTGCGTTACATGCAGGTCACCACCCTGAAGACTCCCGTTCAGAATGGGATGGATCTCCTCAAGCAGGCGCAGGACGGCAAGATCTGGACTGTTCTGGGCCAGCCCATCGTCGTCGCAGGCGGAGCCAATAATAGCGTTACGCTGAAGTCCGTGTCTGGAGTCAGCCAGGCCGTTGCCACCGAATTCMGASTRYTGGACRYGAACGTKACGCTCATCCCACTTKCCGAAGGCATCGTTATCGACGATAACCTGTCAGATCACATCGTGGCGGCTTGCCTGCCTGCACCTGCATCGTCCGCTGCACCCAGCTCTCCCTCTGTACCCAAACCTAGCACTACACCGAAATCTGGCTCCCCTCCTCCGGCCACTGCTTCTGCTCCTGCTAAGAAACCCATCGCTCCTGCTTCTGCGTCTGCTCCTGCTTCCAAGCCTGTTAATTCCGGTATGGCTGCGTTGCCTTCAGCTGCCAATGACATTAAGAGCAGTACCGCGTCTCCTCTTCCGTCCCAAAGCCTCTCGGCTCAAGCATCTCAGCCTCTCCCCACGAAGTTCTCCAAGCTAGTAGACAGGGTAGTAGGTATGATGTCACACCCATCTCCTTGACAAGTAGCGTCCCCACATGTTGGGAGATCGTCGTGCGGGTTCGACTGCCGCTCTACACTGCAGCGTTGTCCAAGACCGAGATGCCGAAAACAGCGTGCCGTTACGAGTTTAATATAACGGCCAACTAAGTTACCGATGGTTGATTGATTGATTGATTGACTGATTGATTGATTAATGGACTGATTGATTGATTGATTGATTGATTGATTGATCGATTACTTGATTGATTGATTGATTGATTGATTGATCGAATCTTCGAATCATGCCGACATTGCGTGCGGTATCTGGGGTAACTTTGCTTGATTATCAGTCCCCTAGGGATATAGTGGAGTGACGCGTAAGTCTACTACCCTGTTTTTCATTTCAATAGCGTAATATGGAGTGATAATTCTCCAAGAATCTCTTCTTTTTTTTTCTTTTTTTTTTTGGGAATAGTGCCCCAATCTATTCGTTGGGAGCAACGCGTGCTGGGAACGGGGCTCAGCGTCCCATTTGAAGACGGACTCCTCTTTCGTTACTTTTTTTCAGTTTACCATTCTACCAAAATATGGAGTTCTCTCCTTTTTTTTTTTTTTGCCCCCAAAAAGACAAAACCCTCTTTAGATTCTGGGAGGGCACTAGTCCGGTTACTTATCCCCGGCACGCATGGCATAACAGAGAAAGGACGTTGAAAAGAAACATAGTCTCACAAGGTAACTATCAAGCAGCGGGAGACTGATTCAAGTACCCAGTCCTACCCTTTTTTTTTTTTTTTTTTTTTTTTTCAAAGTACCCTKTCCTACCCTGTTGGCCCTGATTAGTCAAAATCTGGACAAGAGAGAGAACTTCACGTCACAAGAGAGAGACTTGGGTTGCGCAGAGCAGTGCTGGCGTTATCGTTGGGGTATGAGGAGGAGGATGCCATCACTACAGAGATCTCGGCGACGCTTTCTCTTTTTAAATTAATATTTCATTAAAAACAAAACCTTCTCTACGACCTAACGGACTCTGCCAAGGCCCAAGGGGGATCTGCTACCGTCCGTACTCCGAACAGAATCCCGCCGTCATCAAGAAGGCTGTGTCCGACGGCAAAGGTAGCTAAGCCTTGTATTCATTGATCGATGTGCGCTGTGTTCAGGCCAAGACGCCCGGCGGCCCGTGGGAGGAAGAAGATCGACGCGATCTACAGAGGGGTGATGACAAAGGGCCGGCTATGGCGGACTATCTTTTTTTTTTTTTTTAATCTTGAGATTGGGGAGGGGGACGACACTGATCGGGAAGCGGGGTAGAAAGCGCAGAGAGGGGATGAAGAAATGGGAGAGCCTCGCGTCCGTGGGCTTCACACTTACAGTACCTGAAGGGGGGGTGGAATGGGTGGGCGAAAGGGTAACCTCCCCATCTCTGCCATCCCGGTCCGCTGTTGTCCCCCCTCCACTCTCCTCTCCTCTCCTCTCCTCTCCTCTCTTTCTCCTTCTCCTCTCCTCTCCTCTTCTCTCCTCTCCTCTCCTTCTCCTCTTCTCTCCTCTCCTCTCCTTCTCCTTCTCCAAACCGATGTATCTGCAATTTGCCTTGTTGTGGGTGATCGCCTGATTACCAGTGTCGTCGAATAGGCACGAGCTCCCCTCGTCTGCCGCGGCCGTCTAACCGAGAATGGTCCCTGATAAATACCTCTCCTGGTTCCCTCTCTCCCTGATATACCCATCTTTGCTGCCTTTCTGGTTTGCTCTGCGACTGGGTGCGGATTCGACCCCCCAGCCAGGCCATCGATGGTGGTGGATGATGGCTGGGGTGGGTCACAGCAGAAGCCTGGCGGCGCTGCCGTTGCCCCGAGCGGAGGAGGCGACGAGCTCCCTTTTGAGGAATTCGAATCCGATTATATTTGCAATCGGTTGTATCTTGTTGACGATCCTGACCTGTTTATCTCTCCACCTGTTGACCTGTTTAACTCTTTTTTTTTTTTTTTTTTTTTTTTTTTTGCGTAATCCGATATTAAACGGATCAGAAAAGATTTTTATTTTTATTTTTCGTAATCAGATATTAAACGAATCAGAAAAGATAGTGAATTTGATCTTAGTCAACGACCCGTTTGACTGTTTCCTTTCCATCGGTTTCACCGTTGACCTGCGCAGGTTGGTAATGGCAGGAAATGATGGCTGTCGTGATGAGTGAAATGACAGTGAATGATAACACAGATCGGCACTAGCAACCGTCTCCACCCGAGCATAACGCACCCTAAAAATGAATGTATACAAGCTATATTTCCGGCCAGATACTGCCAAAATGAGGGTGCGTTGTGTTCGGGGGAAGACGGTAGCTACCGTCTTCACCCGAACAGAACGCCCGGTCATTATCATAGCTGTATTCGGTGGAACTTTCAGTCTAGATGCAGTGATAATGACCGGGCGTTCAATTTGGTTGAAGACGGTAGTGCGCACCAGTAAGGCGATTTGCCACGGGCATGGACCAATTTGATGATTTGGTTTTTTAAATCTATGATTAGCTTTTTTTTTTTTTGACACAAATTGATATTTCTTATCTACTTTTTGAGTTTTGATTGAAGTAACTAATCGTTGTTGCAAAGTCTGATGAAAACAGCAGATTTAAAAAAAAAAAAAAAAAAAAAAAAAAAAAAAAAAAAAAAACAAACAAACAAACCCTCAGCTTCGGACTCCATAGCGGCTGCTGCTATTGCTGTTTGGGTCTCATTGGGATCCTAGTACCTTCCTGAGGGATTTGTATGAGATTAACTAGGGGACGACTAGGTCTCGTGGGGATCCCGTCTGTCCGTCCTTCTAATACAGCGATGTTTTTCTTCCCTTGCTTTTTTTCCGCCCCCTGGGAAAACGATTTCATGCAGAGATTCACACCTTCGTGTTCTTCATCTCCTAACGATTTCATGCAGAGATTCACACCTTCGTGTTCTTCATCTCCTATCGCAATATATGGACTTATTGACTTTGACTCATTCCCTCTTGTCTATGGCATGCTCGTCCTACGTGTCTTTTGGTCGTCCCATGCATTGACTGCATGGACTGAGTGGAGCGGTATCCCTCCGGCCCGGCAGGGAGGCCGGACCAGTTTCAGGCCGCCGGCCTGACCCTGGTCCGGTACCAGGTTATTCCGCTACTGGACCCAGGCCGGTATATCACCTCGGCCTAGGTCCAGGGCGGCAGGTTCATTCATTCAGTTGTTCGTTCGTTCATTGGCSGGACTGGACCTCCACTCAGCTGCTGCTTCATGTGTGTGTCCATCTCCTCTCTCTCTCTCTCTCTCTCTTTTCACCATCTCCGCATGTGCCACCACACGTGCGTCACATTGGTATCGGAGCGGAGTTTCGACCTCTGCTCCCTCCCTCCCTCCCCTCTCGGTATCCTACGACCGCGCACCTGGTCTGTTAGCCCGACCAGATACTGTCGTCATCCAAGCTGGCACCTTTCCCCTCGGCGACCCCCAAGAAGACGCTGCCGCGAGAAGCTCCGCCAGCGAACCTGCAGAAGGATCATTGACACGTGAAACGCCGACTTCTGCCACGTCAGCCCCTCCTCCCCTTCGTCCCCCCTTCTCTCCCAAGTCCATTCCCAACCTCTCTTTTCCCCCCCGCCCATTTAGCTGCCATCTCCTGAACCCCCCGCTTTGCTTTCTCCCTCCCCCCCCTTCTCTCTCGATCC